GCCATAACAAACAAGTAAAAGCTGAAGGGCGGGGACCCACAGAGGTGGCCTCACAGCCGTGTGCGGCCAGTCAGTTCCCGGGGTGGGGTCACAGTTCCTGGGCCGCCTGTGGTCATGGCGGGCAGGCGCGCGTGGGAGGCCATCACCCCAAGCTGCGGGAAGCTCTGTGTGGGCGGAGGCTTTCCCGGGCTCCCTGAAGGGTGCACCAGGCAGCACTAGAACGCCGTCACGGCCACCGCCCACCCGTCGTCCTCTCCCGCCCTGCTCATCCGGAGGAGCAGGGCTGTATTTGCTCTGCAGCAGCCTTTGCCCACCAGTGCCCACCAGTGCCCACCAGTGCCCGCCAGTGCCCGCCAGTGCCCACTGCCCCATGAGTGAGCTCATTAACACGAAAGGCAGCACCTGTGCCCGCCGCCGGGCTCTGCCAGGGTAAGGAAGGTGAGGGTGGGGGGCTGCCCAGGGTCTACGGCCAGGAGAGGGAGGGGTGGGAGGGGCACCACTGCCCACGGATGGTGCCGAGGCCCAGGGCCAAGGGGCCGTCTCTCTGCCACAGGACAACGGCAGACAGGGCCTGGGAGGCAGCTTATAACAGACCACAGACAGGGTCCTCTCAAGTATAGCCCCAAAGTCCTCCTGATCATAAAAATATTAAATTAATATAAACACCCGTCACGTGACTCCATGGCAGTTTTTAATATGACATATTAAAAATCAATGTCTCACGACGTAGCGAGAAGCTCACACGTCATATGCATTGGGTTGGGCACGTTGTCACAGAGTGACCACACTGTGTGACCAGCACATGTCACCAAGCAGGGCAGCAGCCAAAGGCTGGACACGGCCCCACTCCCCCAGGGGAGCCCCACCAATAAGTAGGGCCAGCTTCAGATTTCCTGTCAATGCCTCCCTGATGGCACCCCCTCGGTGACCACCCTGTCCTGTTCATTCCTACAGCAATATGGTGACTGAGTTCAAAAGATACCTCATCACGTGCCTAACTTCAAGCAGATGTTGTAAGGGATACCAAACAAACAAATAAATAATGAAGGACACGCTCCTGGCCTGGGGAAGGGGGGCACTGTACACACATTGTTTGTTTGATATAAATTTGTCACTTATTTCCTCAAATCTTGGAATTGATATTCTAGCGTCCATAGAAAGCCCCTCCGGGCTCTGCCTCCCTGGAAGGATGGACTTTTCAGTTTGATAGTGGGAAACGGGCAGTGTGGACACAAGAGGCCTACGTAGTGACCGCTGCTGAGGCCGAGTAATCTTACTGAGCCTTCCACTGCACATTGGCTTTGAGGGGACAGCATCAGGGTCCCCTGAGGGCCTCTCCAGCATTTGAGAAAGCCACTTAAGGTCACAACAAGGTAAGGGCTAAGGGGACCCCAAGACAAGGCTCTCTGAAGACAGGACTGAATCCTGTGTGACGGGAAGGGGCAGCTCCGCTGGCTCTCCAGTTGGTAGGCAGGGCAGAGGACTTCCTCTGAGAGGACCCAGGGCCGCCCAGGGGCAGCCCGCACAGACAAGAGGCAGAGACAACCAGGGTCCGTTGCCACCAGCAAGTGCATTCGGAAGCAAGAAGGAGGTCCTTGTCCCAGCTCTGCCTCCCCAAGGGCTCCCTGCTCAGGCCACCGGCACCCATAATAACCAAGCTTCCCAGCCTGGGCTGGTGACAGGAAGGTCCCAGGGGTCCTGCCAGACCAAGAGCAAGCAAGTGGTGAGACGGAATTCCTTGGATCCCCCGACGGTCGCCGTGAGCGAGGACAAGGACAAGAGAGAGGTCCAGAGCGTGCGTTTAAGAGCCACGAAGAACTGTGGCCCGGGGCTGGCTGGAGGCACTACAGGGGACCCGTGACCAAGCGCTTCCACCCTCTGTCCCCTCCCCTGAGTAGGGCTTGCTGACCTCTAGGATTCCTGGAGCTGTCCCCAGAAGCCCAGGGACACATCCTAAGAATGTTTGAAAAAGCAGAAAATAGAAGACTGCGGGGTTCAGGGGAACAGCCGAGAACGCAGGGCGGTGGAAGGGACGCCGGGCGCTTCCTTGTCGATGCGTTGACCAACAGGGACTGGCAGGAGCCTGGGCGGGTCCCACACTCCGAATTAGGGATGCGTGTGTCCCGTGGTGAAGAACCTGTGTCTGGAATCATCCATGACTTTCCCTGGATTGGTGAGACGACTGCGGTTTGTTTTTATTTCTTCTTACAGAAGATGCTGTTCCCGTTGGAGGCAGATGAAAATAAAGATGTCACTTCTATCTTCCTATCCAAGCCCATGACCCTGGAAACTCTGTCCTCGGGCCCATCAGCAGGTTCAAAACCCCTGGGAGACGTCAAAGTTCTCTTCAGAATCTCAAGAACCTTCACCTTCACGTAGCCCTCCAGGGCCAGAAATCCGGTTCCCAGGCCCGGCCTGCAAACCCCAGGGGTTCCCCAACAGGATGGGGGCGTCTCTGTCCCTGCAGACGGCCCAGTTCTCGGGGAGGGGGGAGGGGGACTTTCCCAACCTCACACCCCTCTGCCAGGCGGCAGGAGTCGGACGCCGTTCCCCTCCCCCCAGCCCTTTCTCTCTAAGGCGCATCTTCAGAGAGCACCACTGGCCGTGTCTTCTTTGTCCACATCTGCCACTTAGATCACGTCACCTGCCACCCTGCAGACACCGTACGCCTGACTTTCTTTGAAATCCCCTGGGCCTTTCCTCTATTTACTTTATCTGGGTCAGCGGCTGAAGGAGGCTGCCACCAAGCCATTGTGAGACCTCAGCCTGCCACACTCTATAGACGGAGCCCCAGGTGGCCCCATCCCATGTCCCCCAGGGAACCATTAAGGGGACTGTGGATGGGCAGGTGTCATGTGTCAATAAAGGCTTATTGTGTCCCTCTAGAGCCAGCACAAGGCGGATGCACCCACCTGGGAGGCACTAACAGAGCTACCCCCAACTGGCTCCTGGGATGCAGTTGTGTGTGACAGTTTTTTTCTTGGACGCCAGGTGGTTTCCAGACACTGAACCTACTCTGTGCTGGGAATAAGTATTACGCACGGAGGCGAGAACCAAAGACCCCACTGCACTGTCACAAGTGCTGTGGAAGAATCTGGAAGCAATGGTATGGGAGAGGGTAACGTGGAGATGCCTTGTTTCACATGACAGTAGGCATTCTCCTCCCTGACTCGGTGACACTGAAACACAAAAGAAACCTAAAGGGTCAGAAGAAGCCATCTGTGTGAAAAGCTAGAAGAGAGGGGAGGACAGAGCTCAGTGTCCTATAAGAATAATCATAAAACCAGGGAGGCGGAGACTGCAAAAGAAGAGGACACTGGCCTGAGCCGGGCTGTAGAGAGAGCCACTCTGGATCAGGCAGGCGAGGGAGCACCGTGGAGCAGCTGCAGGTATGGACTCCAAAGTCAGACCAGTTCTGGACAGCTAGGCTCTAAAATTTCTCTGTGTGACCTTGGGCAAGTTACTTACCCTCTCTGAACCTCTGTTTCCTAATCTTTTGACGGGTTGTTAAATGCATTAATAATGTAAAGCACTCATAAGAGTGCCTGGCACACAGCCTGTGCCATGGTTTGCTGTGACTTATCTAATGAGATGTGTGGACAATCTTAGGCGGGGCTGAGACTTCCTGCCTTGTCTTTAGCAGATGATCAGCCCTGGAGCCAGCTACTGGTTGTCAATAGGACAAAGCACTGGAGGGGTCCTGGAGGTCACTTAAACCCACTGCTTCTCCAGGGGTCCTCTCGGGGAAGGGAGGACACAGTGCCCAGAGAGCCACCCCTGAAAGGCAGCACAGTGGCCGTCCCTAGGTGCCCTGGGCAGGAGAGGAGCTTGAGGGGCAGCCGCTACTCCCACTTCTAGATCATTCCAGCCTGACGTCCCACTGTCCTGCAGCTCCTATTCAGCCAGAGTCAATGCCACTTTCCTTCAGTTGTAAGAACTCAAACCACTTTCCCTTCCACGGTGACTGTATGGTGACTGGCACAGGCTCCGCACACCTGGACCCGGTGGCTTTGGAATAATTGATTGGAAAAAGGAGGATGGAAGCCACCAGGTTGAGTGCCACTCCAGAGCCCTGTGAGCTCCGGAAGGAATCTAGAGGGACTTGGGAGGTCATTTAAGACACCCCCCAGCACAGGGCCAGCCTTCCTCAAAGCACTCTGACAAGGCACCTCCTGGGGTCCTCCAGGGAACATCTGGCACCGTCCCTGGACGGTCACCGTCCCTCTTCCGTCCCTGGAGGTCACAGCCGGCTGGGGACTAGACCCCTCCCGGCCCCCGGCTGCCGCAGGGCACCCTGGGACTGCAGCCCATTTCCTGCCCCAAGGAGCTCTGGACCGAGCAGATGCCAGGGGACCACCCTCCTGCTCCAGGGACCTTCAGAGACCGCTGCGGAGGCCGCGGCGACCCCTGGCTGGCAGAGCTGAGGACAGGAAGCCCCTCCTGGTGTCGCCCTGTCCCACCCCCAGTCCCCGCTGGAGGAGGAGGCGCGGGCGGGGGGCGCAGCTCCCTTTGGGTTTTCTTCTGCGCCAGGTCCGCGGCCGCCCAGCTCCCTCCTCCCTCCGCAGACCCCACTCCTGTCCCCATCCTGTCGCTTCCCCACTGTCCCTCTCAGCCTCCGGTTCCTGCAGCCAGGCTCCCGGCCCCCTCCCTCCCACGTCCTCTTCCGAGTGCCATTACCCCGCAGCCCCCGCAGCCCCCAAGTCCCTACGCTCCCCTGGGTCCCCAATGCTACCCGGGCCCCTTCCCCTGTCCTCCCCTTCAGCCCTCGCTGCGGCACCCCATCCCTCTCCGTGCCTCTCTGCACCCCTCACCCCCAGTTGCCCTTCAGCTCCCTCCGATCCCCCCCAGGCCTCCCCGACCCCTGGGGCACGCCCGCGGCCCCCTCCCAGCCAAGTGCGGGAGCGAAGGGAGCATCGCGGCCGCGGCGCCCCCGCCCGCGCCCCCAGGTCCCCGCCGCAGCCCGGCGACCCCGCCTCGCGGGAGGGCCAGGCGCCGCTCACCTGTTGGGCGGGCTGGAGCACCCCCGGCCTCGCCTTCTCGGGGTCCGGCTCTCGGTCCCGCGGCAGCAGCCCCTTCTTGGGGTGCATGTGCCGGCACAGGCAGGTGACCCCGCACAGCGCGAGGATGCTGGTGGCGGTGCCCAGCGTGGCGCCCAGCGCGATCACAGGCACCGACAGCACCATGGTGCCTGCTCGGTCCCGCCGCCTCGCACCACCCCAGGTCCCGGCCGCCGCCCGCCGCTAAGCAGCTGCCGGGTCCCCGCGAGCCAGCAGCTCTCCCGCCGCCAGAGGGGCGGGGAGCCAGGGAGAGAGGGAGGGAGGACGGCGGCGAGGACGTCAGAGAGGAGGCTGACACCGAGCCGCGTCAGTCAGCCGCCTCCCCCCTTCCCCCAACATGTGACCGGACCCCCACCCAACAGCAGCCCGGGCCTTCCAGGTGGAAGGAAGCTCGGATTGTCTCAGGCTGGGGACCGTTGGGCCCCTAGGAAAGACTGGACCTCGCTGAGGTCGCACCCGCAGGAGCGCAGGAATCAGGCCTGCGACTTTGTCTTTAAAGGTTCCCTTTAAGAGACATCTCAATTTTTGCTCATCCTCTTTCTCCCCCAGGGGCTGTCCGGGGAGGTGACAACATAGGGTGGGGGGGGCACTTTGCTGACATGTAAAGGAGGGGCTGAGGTTCCTCTCCCCCAGAGGGAAGAGTGGGCAGCAGGCAGAGGGCTAGCACTTGCTTTGGCTCAAGACTGTCCTGTGTCCTGCTGAAGATGGGCACAGCCCCTCTGTGATCTGCAGTCCCCTTGGACTGGGCCGCGGTTTGCCTCTGTGACCTAATCCCATCTGCAGGGGTGCTCCTGTTCATGGGTCCATGGAGAGGCCAGGCTGGGAGGAGACAGACACAGGGTCATCTTGCACCCAGATTCCAAGGCCACACTAAGAGAAGGACTTGTCCTTGGAGGACAAAGAGGATCCGCCTCAGCAGCTGGGACACCCTGGATTCAGAAAGAGGGAGAATAAAAATGGTCTTCAAGGGCAGGGAAATTGGACTCCTCGGCATGTGGGGACTGTCTAGAGGTCAGTGGGCTTTTGTTCTCTCATCACGTGGAGTGTGTCACTGGCAGACGCTGGGTGCGTGTGGGAAGGGGCAGAGAGGATTCCGTCCACAAGTTCCCGTGAAGCTGCTGACCCCAGAGTCCGTGACCTCCCCTCCGGACCTTTGCTGCTGAGCTGTGGATGCCATCACGGCCTGGTTCCATACCCAGCCCACGCCTGCCTATTTGCCAGTTACCTGCAGAAAAAGACCCCCCCATGACTCAGTGGCTCAGAACACTGATTCTTCTATTTACCATGATTTTGTGGGTTGCCTGGGCTCAGCTGGGTGGTTTGCCTGCTCAGCGTGATGTCATTTGAGACTGCAGTCATTGGGCGGTCCCACGGGGCTGTGATGATCCCTGGCTCCCTCACGTGGCTGGCAGTTGCTGCGGCTGGCTGTAGGGGGGTCCCAGCTGGGCTATGCATTTCTTCAAGGGGTGCACTCTTGTTCTCCTCCAGGTGGCTTGTCCCTGTAGCTGAAGCGTCTCACAGCATGGTGGGCAGGTTCCAAAAGGAAGAGAGTCAACTGCCAGTTTAAGGCCTGGGTTCAAAAGTCGAAGAGCCACTACAATGTTTGGCCAAAGCAGTACGGTTCCTCTAATTCTTTTCCTTTGGGACACCCAAAAGGGTGTTTCTGAAATGTCACACTGATCCTGTCAGTCACAGGCACTATAGCTTTAAAGGTTCTCCAGGGATATACCCCAGAGACAACTGGGACCCAGAGCCCTTTGGGACACAGTCCCTGCTAACCCCTCCAGTCTCCTCTTAACGCATTTCCCAACATGACCGCTCCCAGAGGCTTGGGATTCATCCGACAAGCTGACATCTTTAGAAGCTCCCTGTCACCATCCGTGGGTGCATGCAGTAGGCACTCAATGACTGTTGAACGACTCACATGATAATCTCACACAGGACTTTTATGGCTCATAAGGAACCCCATTTGCCGTGTGAGCTCCATTTTATTAAATTGGCTCTTCCACAAGTATTGATTGTGTGCCTGCTGTATACCGGACATATTGTCCTGCTGAGCCCCATTTGCTACCGATTGTAGCCCTGAAGTGCCACAGTCCCTGGTGTCTGAATTAGCATTCTCTCTCATCTGGGCTTCCCTGGGAGGTCTTCCTTGGCTGCCAGGCCTGGCAAATGCAAAATGTTCCAGGGAAATAAGAGGTTTAATTAATGCTTTCAGCTCCGGGTCTCCAGGGCCTGGGCTGCTCCCCCCGGGAGACCCTTAATGCCACAAATCTGAATAGGATCCGGGATAGGGGTAGGGGGAAGGGTAAAGAGCACTTAATATCAGAAAATGTCTGGCAGAGATCAGACACCTGCCTGTGGTCCACGGTTACTATGGTTACCAGGATGCAGGCAGCTGCAGTGGCCTTCATTTATAAGAGGACCCCAGCCCAGGAAGAGGAGTCCGCCTCTCTCGAAGGCAGTGAATCTGTGGCAGATTACAGCCCGGAAGGCTGGACCCCGAAAGAGTCCTGCAGACTCTGAGGTGCCTTTGCCATCTGACCGGGCATCCTTGCACTTCTGTCTCATCAAAGAGTGACTTACGCTTCTTGCTACCATCTCTGAGCAGGGACCTTTAATGACAACTCTCTAAAAAAAAGTGTCAGAGGGTTCCTTTGAAAACTGAGATCACATCTACCGACAGAGGCAGCTGAGGGGAAGGGGTGGGGGGAGACTGAGGATGTGGCCTGCAGATAATTGGGAATGTGGGGGCTGCCAGGCTGCCAAGGGCAGATGAGGGCAAGATGCCGGGGAGCTCCTGCAGGGCTGAGGGGTAGATCCCTGGAGCCTCCCGCGCTTCCTGATGAAATGTCACCATTGTTATTTTGATCAATATTGTGCTTGTTGGATGTCTGGATGTTCTGAAGCATCACTGGATTTCTAAGGTATTAAAGTTCTTTGATCTGGGAGAAAAGATTTCAAATACAGTTAAGCATCTCTTGACTATGGGACTCATTATTAGGCAATTCCTTTGTTGTGGGGACACGATAGTCTTCTCACACAGACCTAGATGGCTCAGGCCTGTCCATGCAATCCAGGAACACAGCCACAGCAAATGGGTGAGGCTGCTGTCCACATAGTCCAGCACATTGTTCCACAGCAAACCCTTTTTTAATAAGTAAGGGTGCACTCTAAAATAATCATAAAACATAATACATAAAGCAGTGACCATGGTTTATTTTCATCTTCAAGTATTATGTTCTGTACACAATCTATGTGTTGCACTTTGATGTGACTGGTGGCACAGTAGGTTCATTTATACCAGCATCACTACAAACAGAGGAAGGCATTACTCCACGATGTCTTCTTAGCTAGAGACACCACTCAGGGATAGGAATTCTCCAGCTCTATTATGATTTTAAGGGGTAATCATTGTACCTGCTGACTCTCATCGACTCACACACCATTGTTATGCTGGGCCCAGCTATATAGAAGGTTCTCTTGTTTAGCAAACATCTATGGTGTCTGCATATGGGGCCAGAAGAGCGGGAGACGTGCAAATAGAATGATTGAATTTGAACATTGGAAGGAGTTTGGCAATCACTTTCTGAAAGCCTTTTATTTTACCAGTAAGGAAACTGATCTCCAGAGAGATTGCAGCTTGCCCCAAAAGTAGAAGAATAGGAAGCTGGGTAGGTGTTTTAGGTCAGAGTAAGTTAGGCCTTGCTGCAATAACAAATAAGCCTGCAAACCCTCAGGAATTACCTCATTAAAAATGTATCTCAGATTCATTCCACTGCCTTTCCTTTTTCTATCCCCTTCCCTTCCCTGCCTTCCCCTTTGTCTAATCTACTGAATATCTATTCTCCACCCCCCCACACCCTTCTTACTATGGGTTAGCTTCCACGTATCCACAAAAACATTCGACCTTGGCTTTGGGGGACTAGTTTATTTCACTTAGCATGATAGTCTCCAGATCCACCCATTTACTTGCAAATGTCAAAGTCATTCTCCATGTATAACTAAAAAGAACCAATTTTTAAAAAAGTCTATCTCCCTGCTGTCTACCTCCAAGGAGGGTTGGGTCGCGCACAGGACACTCTTCTCCAATCAGTGGCTTCGGAATCTAGGATTGTTCAGTCCTGTGACTCCTTTGCTTCCAGCCACACAGAGAAGAGAGAACCCACGGTGGTGACATTTTCAAGGCCCTGGTAGAAATGGAGTCGATGGAGTGCTCCATTCCATGGGCCAGAATCTGGAAATAGGACAAACCTCACAGCAGGCGGCTGGGAAGTGAGGGGGAGGATGTGCATGAGCAAGAGTCGTCTGTTGCAGAAGCCAAAGCTCAGGGTTATTTGTGTGGTGAGTATTTCTCCAAGTGGTTCAGTCACTGGGCAGCTGTGGTGAGTTGGTACCACCAGCGAGCACTGAGCCCCTGAGAGAGAGCACTGGTTGTGAACGGGCCCAGGCTGGTCCCTCCCGCCACGCAGAGATCAAGTCCCTCTGGGAAGATGGCAAGTAATCATCCCTCCCACAGGTAAAATCATAAGTGCGACACTAGAGAAGGAGAGAACATTTGTGACAGGGATTTAACCTACTCAGAGACATCAGAGGAAGCTTCCCGGGAGAAGTGACAGTTGTGCCCAGGTCTCCAGAGCAGCGCTGGCTCAGCACGGAAGGAGGCGAGCTCGTCCCAGACAGAGCAGGAGCATGCACGAGGACCCTGTGACAACATGGTGCCGTGGGCACGGGGCCGCAGTGGCCTGGTCAATCCACTCTCCAAGAAAAGGAACCTGGTGTTTCGCATTGGTTGGTTTCTCGGATGTGAAGGGTGTCCACCGTGGGTGATGTCCAGCTGTGGAAAATCCCTGAGTTTGCCGGTGGCTCTCGCAGGCAGGAGGAGCTGGTTCCTGCACACCCCAGAAGCTCTTTGTGACATAGCCTGGGACGTAGGGGACAGGGTCAGCAGCAGGCTTGCTGGCCTCGAAGAGAAGCCACTGAATGCTTCTAGGCAGGGAACTTGAGCTGATGGGATTTGTGCTCTGAGGACCCCTCCGCTGCAGATTTGAGAGCAGTTGGGGGAGCCTCAGGGAGGAAGGCCAGCTTCCCCGAGGCTGTGCTGCTCGGTGGTGGGCTGCAGGTACGGCTGGCCTGAGGAGACGCACGCACGCACCCTGTGGGCGAGTCCCCCTCTCCTCTGGCCTCCGTTTTTAGCTCTGTGCTGTCGGCTCTCATTCGATGGCTTCGT